GTTGAACTGGACATAGATTTTTTTTCAAATGGAACACTTAAAGCAGAGGTTCTCAAACTGGGGTCCCAGGAGCCCCAGGGGTCCATGAGAGGCATCATGGGGGTCCACAAAACATATCATTAAATTGTTAATTTGATTTTTATTTTTAAAAATGCACGGAGAACAATGAACTAATAAAACAAACATAATAAACTTAACTAGAATAGTTCCTGGAGAAACTATGAGAGGATTGCCAGCCCTGCAAAACTCGTCCTATGTTGCTATAAGGGGTTGCTGGATAAAACTTGTTTTAGTGGCCATCCTAAATATGTATTAAGTCTGTGTTTTCGGTTGAAGCAACTGCTTTAGCAAAATTTATCTTTAAAGGTCAAGAAATGACTGATTTATAAGTCATTTTGTGTGTTTTCTGGCAGAATTTGTGCTTTGGTTCATGAAATATTTTGCTAACAGACATTTTTCTAAGCTATTTTTTTTTTCATTTGTAAGACTTGAATACTCTAATAAAGTGGATCAGTTGTTCTAAAGATCTTTCACAATTTGTTTCACACTTTATATTCATTCAGCATATGTAAAATGTGCTGATGTCCAGCACTTACATTGTAATCCAGGGTTGCTTGGACAGCCATCTTGTATCTGAGTTGGACAAATGTGTTGGACAGTGACAGAGGACTGTCCAATGATGACTGTGTTAGAGTTTTATAAAGTTAAAATCATGAGCTCTGGTTCTGGTTCATGAGGTTCATGAGCTATTTCAAAAAGTGTTCATGTTTTGAAGGCTTTTGAGGCCTACTCCATTCATTTCCATTGGCATTTGTTGGGTGTCTTTGTCAGCCTACTGCGTCCCCATGGTAACAATGAATGTACAGTTGAGTAAGAACACAGTTCCCCTGGCTGAGCCGGTCGTTTTGACGTATAACTTGTGTGGGTGCATTCATGTTGAGAATATGTCCTTTCATTTGCATTGAGAAAAAGTGGCCGAAGTTCCTTCGGCTGCTATCTTGTTTTTGAAGTTTCCGCTCCAGTATGTCACAGAGGTTACTGCCAGCTACCAGTAAACCAAGTTTCAGCTCAATATATCAAACAGAGGCTGAGTGAAAGCCATTTGAAAATAGCTATGGCGGCCATCATGGATTTTAATTTTGGCTACTATTTGTGATAGAGCTTACTGTCAGCTACTTGTGTATAAAATATTAGCTCAATATATGAGAAACTGGCTGGATTAGAGTAATTTGAACTTGGCTATGGCGGCCATCTTGTATTTATTATTTCGGCTACTATTTCTGATAGAGCTGACCTTTAGCTACTAGTGGACCAAATTTTAGCTAATTAGGTTGAAAACTGGCTGAATTAAATATGTTTGTATAAACCTATGAAATGTATCTGCCACAGGTAAGACACTGGCTAACCTAGAGTTGGAGTGTAGACTGAGCTGCAAATGGTTTTAAATGGCTGAATGTGAGTCTTTTTTTTTTATTTCAAAGTTATCTTTAGCAATTAGCTTAAACTTGTGAGAAGCATTCATATTATGAAGTTAGCTGTCAGCTACCAAAAGAGATTTATGGACGTCTTTGTGTGTTTACTGTGTTTTCAGGGTAATAAATGAAACCTATGTAAAGTCATGTGTGACCTTTAACCTACATTGACTTTAACTCTTTACAGCAGTGTTTCCAAAAGTTGGGGTCGGGACTCAAAGTGGGGTCCCGAAACATCAAGGTGGGGTCCTGAAATGATTTTTGGAATTAATTACATTTATGGTTTAGTTGTTACAAAGGAGTGAGGTTAGTGTATTTAAAATGGATAAATGTAGTAAAAATATATTGTTACTATGCCCATGTTTAGTTGACCTGATACAAATGTTTATCATCCAAAAATAGCTGGGGGCACAGGTCTCTGTTATTGTTCTTTTGTGGGTCAAAAGCTGAAAAGTTTGGGAACCACTGCACTTTGGTTCCCAAAGTTGGGCTTGGGACCCAATTATGGGTCATGAAGCACCTTGGATAATCTCCAGAAATCAATTTAAAGGGTAATAAAATAATTRATGATGTAATATTTTCTCTATAATTATTACAAAAACACAAAAAAGTATAAATAAGTATTTATATTTGTGTATAAGCTGTTTAAATTGTCAAAAAGCCTGTGCTTTTAGGGTTATTAAAGTTTGTGTACTCAGACCAGTAATATTTGGGGTCACAAGATTTTGCCATGGATATTTTGTGGATCAGAAGATAAAAAGTTTGGGAACCACTGTTCTACAGCCTCAGCCGATCAGGAGGCTGGATTCCCAGCAGCAGCTCAGCTGCACTTAATGGGAGACCAAAATCTGCAGCTCCTGTCTGAAAACAGAAATGATGTCCTTTCAAACAGCTGCTGTGCAAAAAATATAAGGGATATTGAAATAATTTTTGGACCGTGAGCATCAGAAGACTTTGGTCTTTACTGATTATTATTGATCAGTTATTATTGATTATATATTTCATACAGATATATAGAGATATATATATAATTTTTTATTACTATGCCCATGTTTAGTTGACCTGATGATAAACCATTGGGTTTATCATCCAAAAATAGTTGGGGGCACAGGTCTCTGCTACTGTTATTTTGTGGGTCAAAAGCTGAAAAGTTTGGGAACCACTGCACTTCAGAAATCAATTTAAAGAGTAATAAAATAATTGGTGATGTAATATTTTCCCTATAATTATTACAAAAACACAAAATAAGTATAAATATTACATTTGTGTAGCCTTTGTTTTCAGGGTTAACATGGCTATTAACAAAGTTTGTGTACTCAGACCAGTAATATTTGGGGTTACTGTACAAGTTTTTGCCATGAAGATTTCGTGGGTCAGAAGATGAAAAGTTTGGGAACCACTGGTATAGACCATCAGACTGTCAGTGTGTTTTAAACAGGACATATTTTAGGACTAAGAAGTGTTTTTTATACACTGAACAGTAATTAGAATAACTCTTCCATGGTTTTAATCTGACAGTTTGAGTCCTTAAACAACAGGTTTTCTCTAAATTTAAAATGTGTTTAAACATAAGTGGAGTTTACAGCAACAACTTTTAACCCACTTTTATTTTCAAGCACTGATCAGTTTTACAACCAAACTCAAAAATACTTCACACTGTGGGCGCAGGAATTTTAAACTCTGTAAACAATAAATATGTTCAGCATCTCTGGTCCCTTTTTTCTCTCCAGTTTTCACAATGGATACTCCCCTGAATGAAGCAACTGTTAAAGAAATGTTTCTACAAAAGTACAATCTCCAAACACAGAACATTATTTGTGACAAATTACAGATACTTAGTTCAGTGAGTTCACTGTTTGTGATCAGTGTGCAAAAATAAAACTCATCGTTCCAGTGTTCCCATCAGAGGCTCCACGGCAGCCAAGAAGCAGGCTTCAAACTCCTGATCGGAGAAGCGCGCCACAGACTGGCGGGCGCTGCGTCTGATCTGAAGGCGGGCGGCGGGCGACAGCACCAGGATCTGATTGATGGCCTCTGCGTAACCGTCTTCGTCATCTGCCAGGAAGCCCGTTTGACTCCCCTCAAAAGGTACGACAATGTCCAGCTTCGGACCCCCAGACTTGTGTGCGAGGACTACCTTCCCTGCTGCCATGCACTCAACAATACCTGAGAGAGGAGACGAAGATTCAC